AATGACTTATAAAGCAAAGGACCAGCATATATAAAATTACAGTACCAAGAAAAATTTTTTAAAAAGCATGACTTTTCCATGATGGCCCACAGGACAATTGTGTTTTCTTTCTTTTTCTTTTCTTTCTTTCTTTCTTTTTAATATATGACAGTGGGATGCATTACAATTCTTATTACACATATAGAGCACAATTTTTCATATCTCTGGTCATATACAAAATACTTTCACACCAATTCATGTCTTCATACATGTACTTTGGATAATAATTAACATCACATTTCACCATCATTTCTAACGCCATGCCCTCTCCCCTCCCTTCCCCTCCAACCCCTCTGCCCTATCTAGAGTTCATCTATTCCTCCTATGCTCCCGCTCCCTATCCCACTATGAATCAGCCTCCTTATATCAAAGGAAACACTTGGCATTTGGTTTTTTGGGATTGGCTAACTTCACTTAGCAGCATCTTCTCTAACTCCATCCACTTATCTGCAAAATTTGAAGACAAACAACAATAAATGTTGGCAAGGATGTGGGGAAAAAGGCACACTCATACACTGTTGACGGGACTGAAAATTGGTGCAGCCAAAATGGAAAGCAGTATGGAGATTTCTTGGAAAATTGGGAATGGAACAACCATTTGACCCAGCTATCCCTCTCCTCAGTCTATACTCAAAGGACCTAAAAACAGCATACTATAGGGACACAGCCATATCAATGTTTATAGCAGCACAATTTACAGTAGCTAAACTGTGGAACCAACCTAGATGACTTTCAATAGATGAATGGATAAAAAAAATGTGGCAGATGTACACAATGGAATATTATTCAGCAATAAAAGAGAATAAAATCATGGCATTTGCAGGAGGATTGTGTTTTCATGCTCCTAAGAATTTAGAGACCCTGCACCACCATGGAGTTGGTTGGCAGATTGAGTAAGTACTTGAAGAAACAGGCTTTGTCTCCTTTTTTCTTTTGTAAGTCCTACAAGGAAGCTTATCATAGTACTGTACTTACAGAAAGCACTCAATATCAGTAAATATGTATATACTAAGTGATCCCTTATTTGAGGAAGGAATAAGAGAGTAAACATATTCTAAGATAATTTTCATGGGTTGGGAAGGATATGACCAAAGAAGGAAGTGAAATATCTGTGACTCAAAAATTCAAATGGTAGGAGAAGAACTCCAAATCAATAGGGCTGGGACTCCCTTGTAAACAAAGGTAATAAAAATAGGTTAGGTGAGAAATTACATAAATTACTATTAAAAATGTGTAAAATTGAATGTTTTTAATTTAAAAAAATTGTGTACGTACAAGTACTGGCATAGTTGATATCATTTCAAGCAGAGAATAGAGAATTTAATAGTTCATCTCTTCTCCACCTTTTGATATCTATGCATTGAGTTTTAAGAAAATCATTTAAATTATCTTCAGCAGACATTACTAACTCAGTCCATACCAATGAATTCCAATGACATCATTGTTTCCATGGTAACTAATGCACTTCAAAAGGGGGAAAACAGAGAACAAGACTAAAAACCAGAGGAAAAATGGAATAAAGTGGAATAAATAAAGAATAACATCTCCTTTGCATTTATGGAACACTTTCTAATTTCAAACACTTTACCATTATTTAGACTCTGAGGCTTTTAAGAGCCAGGGGTTCTTAGAAGTGATCAAATCCACTTCTCACTTTCAGCCCAGATTCCCTTCTCAAGGTAGCTGCACTATGGTTGTCAAATAACAGATAGAGCTCATTGTCAAAATAGTTCTCACTCATTTACTTATAAATGTTGTTGAACATCTTTTTTGATCTGAAAGTTTAAGAAATCATTAAGACATTCTACCTCTTTAAAAAATTTCACAGTTGAGAGGGCAAATAATATTAAAATATGGGTGAAAAAAGAGGGCTATAATAAAGATATTGGAAGGCATTAAAAAAAACAAAGGAAGGAACCATTAATTCCATCTTGGAATCAATCTTAGATTACACAGCTTCAGTGACTTATTTCTACTCTCCTTCAGTCCCACACACCCACAACCACATCCTGGACCTTACCATGACCCAGATCTGCTCCAGTTCTGAAAATCTGAACTCCAACATTAACTGTTCGAGCCCAAACAGTTCTCTTATTCTCTAAATAATGCCTGAAATACTCCTATGTGCCTTATACAGCCCATCATCCTTCACTTGAGATACTTCTTCCCACATTCCCTAATATCCTCAACTTTTATCCTTCAATGGCATCCACCTAATAATAGCCTAACCTGGATTTTGTGACCATCCCTTTCCCCCTTTGTTATGTTCTAGAAGGATTATCTTTCTACTTTCTGTCTTAAAACCCAGAGAAAATTTTGTTAGAACAGTATGAGGCTGTTTACCTTTTTATTTATTTATTAACAGATAGTAAGTGCCACGGTCTGCCAGTAAGTACAAGTTAACGCCTAAACTAAAAGGAGTTAGACATGCTGAATTTGGCAACTATAGTTATCAGACTCTCAACTAGCAAAGTCTAGTAGTCTAGTAGGAACTTCCCCATAGTCGCTGCCACCTCAAATGACTATGTCAGCGGAAATAGTCTATTGACAAGGGGATAAAATAGGAAAAAGTTCTTACTCCCACCTTTTTAAGTTTATTTTCCTCACAGACTTCATGATGTTTTGAATAAGCTAGACAAGTTTCTCTACCTCCACCTTATAGAATGAGAAGTTAAGCATTTACTTACACACAGAAAGAAGGTCATTATCCTAACCTTAAGGTGATCTTAACAGACCATGGGCTCTATTACCTCATTTCTGCCAGAAAGAATGACAGATTACTTATAAATTCAGAGTCATCATTTTTAGTAGAAAGCCCTCTCTCTTAATTTTATAGTTTAAAATATCATATAATAAGCAAACCTTTTTAGCTATCTGGGTGGGCATTATTCATTTCTAGTTTTTCTTGGAGGTCATAAAGTCACTCTGTTCAAACTAGGTGTTTTAGAGACAAAGTTTTATGAGATGACCATTTGGATATTATTGCTTTAAAATTTTTCTAAGCTAAAATTCACAACATAGAACACTGGCCCTACACTACTTATCAATCACAATTTTACCCTTGCTAGTGAAAAATAGCCTTAGATTACCTGGAAGGTAAGAGTTAAGGTGTCTTCCTTATTAGGCTCAATTTTCTCCTCTTTTTCTTTTTTTGCCCTGTGGTGCTGTGTGCATGTAAGGTAAGTAATCTACCACTGAGCCACAACCCCCAGTTCCCAGGCTCCTCTATTTTCACCAGAGCATGTTGATCCAACCCAGAGCTCCACGTTTTGTCAATGCACACAGCTCTGCATTAAGTGGCAGGAGAGAAGAGGTACTTGTCAAGGAAGGTCACCTGAATCCCACTATTGTACAATTTTATACTTTTCAAATCTCCCCTGATAAACATTTATGAAAGCTTTTCTGAGAGTCCATTCATTCTAATACATTATTGGGTCTTATCCTGTGTCATGGTCTCATTTAAGTATCTGAAGATAGTTATGAATTCTTTCTATGCCAAAATGAACATAATTGAGCATATACCTTGTTATGGGAAACAGGAGATAGAGAGAATTATGAGATCTCTGAAGCTAATCCAAGAGCTTAAAAAGCTCTGTTGTATAAACTTTAAAATCTATCCTTGAAGTTAGCAAGTCCATTAGAGAGCTGCATAGACAGAAGTATCACCTTGGCCTTGTACTTGTACACCTTGTACACTTTGTCACCTTAGCTTACTCTAATTGTCCCCTGGCACAGTTTCTCTTGTTGAGGCATACTTGAAGGAGAAAGCTTTTTTTATTATAAAAAAGTAATGAGAACATGTTCAATATATATAGTTTCTTCTTTCTGAGAACACTGAAAAGTTCTCTTCTGGTCTCAGCTGTTTCTCTGGAGCATCCAGACTTTTTTCACCTTGTGGTAGTTGAGGGTGTTTTAATGGTGCCCTTGGCTGGTAGAAAACTCAGGGCATGCCTCCAGCAGGTATTGAAGTTCTAATGGCATGCATTTATACTGACTTTCTATTCATTCTATCTGATTTAAATTATTCTTTGTCTGTTTTATTATATTTTTACCTTGTTCAATTTTATCATACTGTGCAGAAAATCCTGAAGTATCTCTTAGAAGAAGGTAGGCTAATAGTGAGTTAAAATGTAGGTATTTAAGTCAGCTATTTCGCTGCTGTGACTAAAGGACCCAACCAGCACAATTGTAGGGAAGAAAGTTTATTTGTGGGCTCACGGTTTTAGAGGTCTTAGTCCATAGAAAGCTGGCTCTATTCCTTGAGGAGGCTGGAGGTGCTCGAGGTGAAGCAGAACTTCATGGTAGAAGAGTGTGATAGAGGTAAGCAGTTCACATGATGATCAGAAAGCAGAGCCACTCCACTGGCCAGACACAAAATATATACCCCCAAACCACATCCCCAATGTCTCACCTCTTCCAGCCATACCCCCTGCCTCTAGTCACCACTCAGTTAATCCCATCAGGAAATTAATACACTGATTGGGTTAAGGCTCTCACAATCCAATAATTTTTACTCTGAACCTTCTTGCATTGTCGCACATGTGAGCTTCTGGGGCATGCCTCACATCAAACTATAACAGTAGGAGACAACAAAAGGAAAAAAGTATTCTTTTTTTCACTTGTTCTCCCATAAGTAATCTCTTCAAGTCTATCTACTAGTTTCCTAAAATGCTCATCATTGTCATTATTTTTTTTTTCAGTGAAGAAGGCTACAAGTATTTGAGAGGAATAGAACTTTTTCAGAAAACTTGTATCAGAAGGATATTTCAGAATTTTTCTTAATTAATAATGTATAGACAGGTACCTATAAGAACTTTTAAAGTGATCATAAATATGAACTAGGAATTTCATAAAAATTTCTGTACTGGACTAAATTAAAACTCAGACTGTATTCTTCAATTACTTGCTTCTTCAGTTAGAAGAGTTTCATTTTTTTCAACAATGAAGCTGTCGATGCTTACCGGCACATGGACTTTTCGAAACATCTCGGCACCTTTGTGTGCATCCATCAATGCAATGTCTTGGGGTGTGGAGACAATCACAGCACCTAACCAAAAGAGAAACAAAACTGTTGGGAGTTGGCCTGGCTCCAAAGACTAACTTCCCCATCCCTCCAAAAGAGCCATCCAATGGTGAGCCCTGCTGGCTCACATGATCCTTACCCACCAATCACACTAGCCCTGCTGGCTCACATGATCCTTACCCACCAATCAGACTAGTCCTGCTGACTCACATGATCTTTACCCACCAATCAGAAAGCACCCATGCCAACTGTCAAACTGTTCAACCATTAAACTGTCATAACTGTAAAACCACCCCTGGCTCTATAAATATGCAGAGCTATTCCTCAATAAATGGGCATTTTCTCCAACCATGAGCCTTGTTCATTCTCTCATTGGTGCCGAAACCCGGGAGGGGGAATGCCTCGCTGCTCGAGGGCCCCCCTCTCAAGGTTTGCCGTCATCGTCCACTCTTTTGCACACTGCTACTACTCACACAACACTGGCTCTTCAGTAAGTGAGTTCCCCTATCGGGTATCCAACTTCAGATGGGCTACACAGGGGCTTTGACTGTAATCATCCAGCAAATCTCTGATGCCCAATCTGGAGGAGAGAACGTACCCCACCACGACCTTCACGGTCACGGTGGACTCTCTGGAACCCAGTTCATGAGCGGGAGGTACTGAGGGGTAGAAGAACAGGCACTCCTCTCTCTCTTAACCACTCTTGTCCCTCTTCTGACCTATGGGGGCCTCTTCTTCCATCCCTGCAGACTCCCTCTTATTAAATTCTGCAAACAGATTGGCCTTACTATCAATTAGACAATCAAAGTCAATGGCCCCCAGGAGGACCCCTAGATCCCGCAATTCTCAGAGATCTGTTTAACTTCTGCGAGCCCTTGAAAAAGTGGAAGGAGATCCCCTAAGTTGAGGCTTTTTTTCCTCTTCTTCGTTTTCACCCCGGCCTATCCGGCAGATAAACCCTATCCCTACCGACCACCCCCGTTGGCTCCGTCCAGCCCCTCAGGTGCTTGCCCTGATTCGGCCGACACCTTTAGTCCCCCCAAACTAGGTCCTGCTCCCTAGTCCCACAAACCATGGCCTCCTTAAGAGAGGTTGCTGGACCTGAGGGCATTATCCCGTTCTCTATGAATGACTTCATGCAATTCGAGGGAAGGTTGGGCTCATTCATCACAGAAGAGAGTTTCAATTGGTCCTCCAGGCTTATAGCCTCACTTATATGTTATTGGCTAACACTCTCCTTCTTGAGGAACGTACCAGAGTCTGGGAACTTGCCAGAGCCCATGCGGATGAAACTCACCAAGTTAATCCCAGTCACCCTCCGGGGCCACTTATTGCCCCAGATAATATACAAGCTGTCACACAGAATAGGGACTGATTCTCTGCATATATTATTGCTGGACTCAAAAAAGCGGCACGGAAGGCCATCAATTTTAAAAAATTACAAGAGACCCCATCCAAATTTCTGGATCAGCTTACGAAAGCCCTTCAGCAGTAACCTAGATCCTGAAACCCCAGATGGCTGTCATGTCCTTATGACATATTTCCTCTCGCAGAACTACCCCAACATCTGGGCCAAACTAAAAAAGCTCAAACAAGGCCTTGCCACCCCCCAGACTGAGAAATTTCAGATGCTAGCCCAGGCCCTGCAGGGTGCTTCCTCAGGTCACCGTCCATCACCTCAGGTCAAACCACCCCCACCCCACCCTCCGGGCACCTGCTTCAAGTGTGGCTAGGAGGGACACTGGGCCAGGGCATGTCCCACACTACATACCCCAATACCTCATGCCCTAAATGTCAACAACAAGGTCATTGGGGCTCTGACTGTCCTAGATGCCGTAAGAGGCCTATGACCAGGGAACCCTCCGATCTTCTGGGCATGGCAATCAATTGATGGAGTCTTGGGTCCTTGTTCCCGGCCGTAACGATCAACAGACAGGGACCCAGGGTGCAGATTCAGGTGGATGGACACAAGGTTGACTTTCTCCTTGACACTGGGGCTATCTTCTGAGTCCTGACAGAATTCTGGGGGCAAACGGTGCCGTCCACCTCTCCTATTGTTGGGGTAGGAGGAAAGACCATCTATCCAAGAAAGACTTCCCTATTACTCTGTTCCACAGACAACTTCCCATTCTCCCAGACATTCCTAATTATGCCCCAATGTCCAGTTCCTTTGCTCGGCTGAGATATTCTCTCTAAATTCAATACAACAATCAATATCTGGGCTCCTAGCATCAGTCGGGCCCCAGAATCAGCCTATTCATCTTTTCTGGCCCTTTTGGCAGAAGACTGGCCATTCTGCTCCACTTGTGAGGCTGACATGAAACACCATACTAAAAAAAGACCCCTACCTATGAACCTGGTTGACCCGATTCTATGGGATACCCACACCCCCTCCACCGTTTCCTGCCCACCAGTTAACATTCATCTCATGCTATCTTTGTTTATATATTTATTTTTTAGTTGTAGTTGGACACAATACCTTTATTTTATTTATTTTAACGTGGAGCTGAGGATGGAACCCAGGGCCTCTTCTATTGCTGAGCCACAACCCTAGCCCCCAAACAATGCTATCTTTTAATTCTTCATGGAAACATTACTTCTCTAACATTATGTTCCTTACAGCTTCAAAGAGTCTACTCCATGAGTTAGGTAATTCATACAGATTTTATATAAATAAGAAAGATGAGGAAATGTGTTCTTTGCTCTTGCCTTAGACTCCTCACTTCTAAAATCACAACTGATCAGTGATTAAGAATCATAACTATATCACTGAATCCTCTTCCCATTCACATAATGTGCTAGTGAGACATGCATAAAGCAGGCATAATGTCAAGAAGCTAATAATCTATCTGGGAGAACTTCCCGCCAAAAAAAAAAAAATCAAAGATTACAACACAAATTGCCAAGTATTAAAGCAGAGATGTGCATCTGAAGTTATAAAGGAGGGACAGGAAGGAAAGCTAACTGGAACAGAGGATGATGCTCTATGGGGTGGGAGGTGAAAGATTAGAAGCATTGAGGAAAAGTTTCAGAAAGATTATTCCTAAGTAGAGACCCAAAAGTTTATTTTTTATTTTTATTTTTTTAAGAGAGAGAGGGAGAGAGAGAGAGAGAGAGAGAACACACAACATCCATCTTTGTTTGTAATGTGGTGCTGAGGATTGAACCCAGACCACACGCATGCCAGGTGAGCACATTACCGCTTGAGCCACATCCCCAGCCCCCAAAAGTTTTTTTTTTTAATTTTTTAAAGACAAGGATTTTTTTTTATATATTTATTTTTTTAGTTTTAAGTGGACACAATATCTTTATCTTATATTTATGTGGTGCTGGGGATCAAACTCCATGCCTCAAGCATTCTAGAAGAGTGCTCTACCACTGAGCCACAACCCCAACTCCCTAAAGTTTATATTCTAGAAAACTCACACTGTAGAGATGGTTTGGTGGGGGATAAACTGAGGGCCATAGCATGAATTCAGATTCAAAATAGTGGTGACTTGAATTAAGGCAGTATTTAAGTGACAGAGATGGAAGCTTCCCTAGATCTCCACTATTATCCTTACAGAAACCAGATAGCTATTGGGATGGATACAGAGTTTTGAGAAAAACTGAAGTATGATTTTTTTCATTAAGTGAAAACAACAAAGGCCTATTTATGATTTACAGAGGCTATAAATTTCTTAAATTTTATGGTTTCTTCTACATTGGAATTTTTTTGCAGTACAAAGATTCGGTTTCTTTTAGATAATAACCCCAAAATAATTAACATGAATATATTATAGATCACATGATTGGCCAAAACCTTTTAACTAAATACACAGTGCATGGACATTTCAGAACCCCAAACCATAAAATTGGTACCAAATTGTAAGGTTTATCATAGTTAATGAAAATAGAGAAAGAATTAACAATAACTGATTATACCAAGTGGAGGACAAATGACTCTACAAAGTACTGTCCGAAGGGATGTTCTGAAGAAATTAGAATAGAGAAAATCTGTAGACGAAACTAGTTTTCACCAAGTACATGGTGAAATAAGGTAATATAAGCTAATAAACTTAAAAAAAATCTGTGCAATAGTAAGCTACAAATTCATCTTGCAATCAGCATTTTCATTTCTGCAAAACTTTATCTTTCACATTAAATGTCATTAATTTGAATTTTATTGATTTTGTAAGTTTTCTTATATTTTTATGTTTTTAATGTTTTTAATTTTATAAGAGCTATAAACAAAAGGAATTTTTTAAGTAACTATTTAAGTAACTAGTTTTATAATAAAAATGAATCAATATGGGATAAGGGGAGGAAATTACTTTCCTTTTAGAAGGAGGGTTTACATTCATTATTCAAGTTTGAGATACACCAGCTTTAGAATTCAAACACACAAGGATTTGATGTTTGATTCTACAGCTGATTACCTGTGTGATTCAGGGATTACTTAACCTGAGTTTCAGTTTCTTCATTTACAAAATGACACAGTGATATTTAGATTTCAAGATCTGTTATGATTTAGATAATAGGTGTCTCCCAAAAGCTCATGTGTGAGATAATATAAGAAGGTTTAAAGGAGAAATTATTGGGTTATGAGAGCCTTAACCCAATCAGTGAATTAATTCCCTGACAGGAATTAACTGAGTGGTAACTGCAGGATGATAGGGTGTGGCTGCCGGAGGTGGGTCATTGGGGGTATATATTGGTGAGCTAAGCTTAGTGTGTCTGTATGGCTCTCTCTTTCTCTCCCCCCCTCCCCACCTCCACCTTGGTGTGATGTCTTGAGCTGATTCTCTCCACAACACTCTTCTAACAAAACGCTCTGCCTCACCTCCAGCCCCTAGGATGGAGTCACTATCTATGGACTGAGACCTCTGAAACTGTGAGCCCCCAGAAAAACTTCTCCTCTAATTGTTCTTGTCAGGTCTTTTGGTCATAGCAGTGAAAAAACTGACTAAATCAGGACTGAAATAATACAATAAACCACTGTACACAGAAGCTTAATATGGTGCCTCACATTCAATAATGACAGA